GGGGGGGGGGTTGTATTAAAAGCTGTTTTGAACGTACCCGAGGAAGTTCCTTAGAACGCCCGATCGAAACGTGGCAAAGGACATATAAGATTCCAACTCTATGATTCTAAGATATAAAAGGGCCGCGGTGAGAGGAAGCGTTCGTCTGTTGAACCAAATCTCAACCTGTTTTCTCTTCTTTGGTGTTGCCACCTCCAGGTTGGGAAATTGCTGGAGACTGAAGAGGGGAATAGAACCTGAGGAGGGTGGGATTTGAGGGAGCGGAAGGACCCCAGCGGGGTATAATGCCACACCTTCCGCCCTCTAAAGTGGCAATTTTTTCCATTTGCTCGAACATCACACAGGAGAGGTCATTTTGGCTCCCCCAGGTCTCCTTAAAGGTAAAGGTTCCCTTGCTCAAAAGCCAGTCGAGTCCAACTCTAGGGTTGCGGTGCTCATCTCCGTTTCAAAGCCGAAGAGCCAGCGCTGTCTGAAGACGTTTCCGTGGTCAGAACGCTGTTACCTTCCCACCGACGTGGTACCTATTTATCTACATGCAATTTCTTGCTTTCAAACTGCTAGGTTGGCAGGAGCTAGAACTAGAGACTCCGTCATGCGGCAACTCGGGTCTCGAACTGCTGAACTACTGACCTTCCACAGCCTGCAGTTCAGCGTCTTAACCACTTGAGCCACCACAGCTCGTCTCCTGTCCAGCTCTCCTTAGGGGCTCTTTAAAAAGTTATGGCTGCGCGAGAAGGACATGAAACGTTTCCCGACTCCCTGGGCCCCGGGGTGGTGGCCTTGAGCTCTTCCGGGCAAATTCCACCTCTCACGTGTGATGTTTGAGTGGCTGCATGAAACGTTTCCCCGACTCCCTGGGCCCTGGGGTGGCGGCCTTGAGCTCACATGCAAGAAGTCATTTTGGCTCCCCCAGCTCTCCTTAGGGGCTCTTTAAAAAGTTATGGCCGCGGCAATAACCACGCAAGGAGGGCGCAAAACGTTTCCCCAACTCCCTGGGCCCCAGGGTGGCGGCCTTGAGCTCCTACGGGCAAATTCCACCTCTCGCGTGTGATGTTCTAGCGGCGTTGCCGCTTGAACATCACACGCGAGAGATCATTTTGGCTCCCCCAGCTCTCCTTAGGGGCTCTTGTGAGGAGAGCGTGAAACATTTCCCTGGCTCCCTGGGCCCTGGGGTGGCAGCCTTGAGCTTGTACGGGCAAATTCCACCTCTCGCGTGTGATGTTCGAGCCAGGGCTGGCCCCAGCTTATTTTGCACCCTAGGCGAGGATCCCTTCTGGCGCCCCCATGGCCCCCCCGTCAGAACCAGGGGGATTGTTGGCGGGGGTGAGTGCAGTTTAGCGCCCCTCGTCAGGGCACCTGGAGAAGAGGCTGACCAGCGGGGTGCTCACAAGCCGTCGCTCCCTTGGCCCTACTGCTGCTTCTGCTGCAGCTGCCAGTCCCCGGCCGCGAGGAGGAGGAGGAGGAGGAGAAGCGTTCCACTGGTAAGCTGAGGAGGCAGGCAGGGAGAATTTAGCCGGCCAAAGAGGTGGTGGGCAGCGACGGGGGGTCACCCAGCTATGGAAATGCAGGGCCTTAGGGGGGGCTTTTGGTGGGGGGCAGGTGCAGTTTGGCGCCCCTAAGGGCTGGTGCATTCTAGGCGAACACCTAGTTTGCCTAGTGAGTGAGCCGGCCCTGCTTCCAAGGTAAAAGACACATCCCTACTCATGAGCATTGCTCTTTCAGTTGCATCACCCTCATCCTCTGAATGTTTCCTGCTCCCCAAAGTGACTACCAAGTCCTTGTGGTCTCTTACTCCTGGGACTGCTTCTCAGAACCCCTGGATACCAACCACTCACTCCCTTCAGCTCTCTTCAAATACCCACATGTTCTAGAAAAGACATTTGCATATCTTAGGCTTAGTTTCAGTAGGGATGGGGACAAAGTAAATATAAAAGAAATTAATGTGTTTCCTGTTCATCCCTGGCTGCAGCTCATCTTTTTTCCTCATTTCACAATTTATTTGTAACTGCTGTAGGATAAGAATTTGTAGATGACAGTTTAGTGTTTCGAGAAACACAGTTTTCTTCGTCAGAAAGCTTATGCTACAATAAAGTTTGTTAGTCTTAAAGGTGCTACTGGGCTTTTTACTATTTTGCAGCAACAGACTAACATGACTAACTCCTCTGGATCTAAGTCTGCAAACAGTCATGGAAGCTGAAGTGATACATCGAGGATGTTAATTATGGGAGGGATTGGATACAGCTGAAGTTGAACAGGTTTGTGAGATTTGATGTTCACAGATTGGCCTTTGCCTTGTACAGTTTGTGGCCTTGGACAAGTTACTTTTGTCCATTTGACCCAGTATTCAGTTGTCAACAGTGGCTGAGCAGGCCCGGGGGCGCGGCCAGGATCCGGGGAAAGCTTATAAACAGGACACAAAAGCAACAAATTTACTGATGCCAGCATTTTAGGGAATTCCTGTACATACTACAAAAGGACATAAACTAAAAAGGGCCAGGCCATTTTCTCAAAAAATTTCAAAAGATATTAATGCATTTGGATGATGTCCAGTGTCAATTGCTGAATTTAATGAAAGGCGAATGCATAAGGGCCCTCTGCTTTCAGTGTCAAGTAACAAGGTATGGGATTATTTCATGTTAGAGAGATTCTCAATGTATACCAACAGTGAAAATAAGGAATGTGACCTTTTTAATCCCATGGACAAATGGTATCCATTTATTGATAAAATGGCCATTGATAGAGAACGTTGTGAAAGTTGGTCACATTATAAATACTGGACTTTTTCATTCTATTATTTGGACTAAGCAGTTATTTGACAACTGGTGGGAAATAAAATGATTCGATGGGGAAAGTGTTACTGTAACTCTTTGATGGTTGTATTATGATTTTTCAGATAAAGTTTGTAATGACTTTTTGTTCTACTTCACAGATGGAATTATAATGGTGTACTCAAATGTACCTTATACTATAATGTTATGCACTAAGGTTATTTTGTTTATTCATGTAAAACAATAAACACTTGGAAAATTGGAGGACAGTAGTTGCATGGAACAAAAAAAGTTAACTGCTCTTAATTTCTGTGCCTATTTTACCCTTCAGCAGACTGCTGAAGCAGTGTAAGGATATAAACTAAACAGGTGAGAGACGTTTACATATTCTATTTAATTACAATTCTGTAGTAGTAGTCGAATGTTCTTACTAAATTGGTCACATTAAGGATTTGCTTGATGAGGAACAGCTAGGGTTGCCAAGTCGTACCTTAAGCTGCAGTGGGGGAGTCCCGGCTCGCTCTGGGAGAGAGAGCGCGCGCCGCAATAACGTCACCTGAGAGTGACGCGGGCGCGCCGGGGGCGGGGCCGCGGTCATCCAAGGGGAAAACACGAGTTTTCTCTCGGATGACCGTGGCCCTTCCGGGTGACGTGCTGATGCCGGGCACGTCCCGTGCTTTGGGGGTGGGGTTCCCCCCGGGGCCCGATCCGGCGGCAGGAAACAGGCCTCTGGGGCGGGGGGTTTCCCGCCCCCCAGCCAGGGGGACTTGGCAAGCCTAGGAACAGCACACTAAAACTCAGCATCTTCACATATTAATAACTTCCCTAAAACAAAACCATTGAAAATTATACAGATTGTAGTCCAGCACCATCCATACCATCCATATGCACAGTGTGGCTTCCAATTGTTCTCTTTCCATACAAATGGTAACCCTACTTACCAAACCTCCCTTGTAACATGTCAAAGTGGTTCCTAATTTAGCACAAGAAGTTTCTAGTACGAGAGAGGGAAGACTCAGAAACCCCAGAATTCTTGCAGTGGCCTAAAAGAGCTCTCTGGATTGCAGCCACATTTTTGTTATTTTGGTCTTTAAATCAGTGATTCTTATTATTTAACTTCTTTTCAAAGCTCTTGAGAGCCACTCCTCTACGTGAAAACAGCTGGGTGACCTTGGGTCAGTGACAGTTCTCTCAGAGCTCTCTCAGCCCCACCTACCTCACAGGGTGTCTGTTGTGTGGAAAGGAAGGGAAGGCGATTGTAAGCCACTCAGAGACTCCTTCAAGTAGTGAAGGGTGGGGTATAAAACCAACTCTTCTAAGTTAAGCTTTGCCAATTTATCATATAACCTCATTATTATAATAATCTATTCACCAATTAAGTACACTAACTTCTTTCCTATTTCTGTTTTAAGAGAGTACTTTTGTTTTAAAGACCACAGTGAAACAACTCTTTGTGCTTTTTTCCTATTAATTGTGGAATGTATTCCACATAAAGGAAACTGGCAAGTACATCCATGTTTAAATGTAAAAAATCTCATTTATTTAATTTCATATATAAAATAACCAAGTAAGTTGCTTACATCTATTCAAATCATTACAGTTTCTGTTTCAGCCTGTCCCCTCGAGGTTCCTCTACAGTGCCAAGTGTTCTGAAGAAGGTACAAGAGATCTGAAATAGGTGCTCGGGTCACCAGGATGAATTTTTCCACAATTTTAATTCATATTAGTGGGGCATGTACAGAAAATTGCCTTGTGGTCTGTGCCCTAAAAGTTTAACAGTCACATGAAATAGAACATTTATTCCTCATTTGAATTTGGGCATCCCCAACTTGGTTTATTTCACAGCAAGGGCGATATCAAAACTGTCATTAGTTTTCGCCTTGGAAAAGCTTCCTCTGGCTACTGGTTAGGGATTCCATTTCTTTTGAAGTATGCTAATCCACAAGAGGTACATTGATCTTGATACATTATACAAGACTCAGGTTGGTACTACAGATAACTTTGTAGAAAAAAACAATTCTGGGATGAAGACAGAAATATTTCAGGTGGGCCACATTACAAAAGTCTAACTGTTTCTATTATGTCAGAAAGATTATTATACTTTTTCTTAACTGAATTTTAAAGATCAGTTATTCTGGATATCTTTGGGGAAAACTCGGATACTTAAATAAAAACTAGCACTTTCAACAACTTCACTGGTGTCTTGTTTTCATCCTCATAAACCAATCTTACCAACCACGTGGAAATTTAATAATGCAGGAAAAATGAACTATACAATTCACTGTGAGCATTGACAGATTTTGTTCATCAGGCTATATAGAGGAGTGCTTTAATTCAGTGGGACATTTAAGTGCAGGTCAGACGTTTCAAGTACTTGTTCTTCAGTTTACAGTTGGGCATATTCAAATAGCTTGCATAGACCTAAATAGACATCTAACAATAGAACAGGAAGTAGCAGCATAAAACGCAGAGCTTTCCCCACATAATCCAGTTAGTATATTTAAATAAATACATTTCTAAAGAGAAAGAGTCATTTTTGGATTTCATGCTCATCTTTGGCAGCAAGACAATTCTCTCAGTGATGCTTTTGATCCAGCTATATTTGCATCTGTGGCTATGCTGAGGCCATTTAGAGAAAAGGATTTCCATTAGTGTAACTGCACTTGAAGCTTTACAGTAAACCAAATGTTTAATTGGTTGCAATTTGGGGAAAATTCAGCTACAGTCTGGTTTTGACAAGATACTCAGCACATTGCTAGACCTACTAAAAACCTCAGTGACAACTTTTTTTATCCAGGTGGTTAACAAAAATAATAAAAGCTATTAAAGGTTGGGAAATACTTTCCAGTGATTGATCGGTTATTGCCCTCTTATATACATCAAGAAGCAATAAGACTAAGGAACAGTATAGCCTTTAAATCATTTACAAAAAAGAACTAGCAGACTGAGAGTTGAAAAACACAGAGGAATCCTATTGTCAATGCCCACTGATATTTTAGGCTTAAGTATAATAATAATTAGCTGAATACTCAAACACTTTTCAGTGTTCTAAAAAACGTTTTCCTGACTTACTCCTACATTATCGTAGAAAGAGTTCATTTATTGTGTACAAAAACATTTCATACAAAAGCACCAAACTACAAATAATTGCACCAAACAACCAATTATGTGACTATTCTCAGAGGTTAAGTGACATTTTGCTAAAGATAAAAATATAGTTAAAATAACATATTGCACTGTGCAGTACATCAAACTGAACAGGAAGCTAGAAATGATCTGCCTAGTCATTGTCATTTCCCTAAAACACTGCTTTTTTGACATGGTAATTCCAGTTTCAGTTCCTGTTGTATAATAGGAAAGTTTGAAGATGAATTATTCACCATATCTTACATTATGTATATAAACCTATTGACTTCAATGGGACTGTATATTAAGGAAAACACGCTCATGTTGAATGTATTGCCTTCTTGCATGATCTTATTCATGCTTTAGAAGTGTAAATTGCATATTGATTTTAAAATATTTTTGGAGTTTACTATTTGATATCTTCTGTGCAATGTTCAAGGAACACAGAATGATCCTCCCACCCGTTTCCCATAAATAAGAGAATCATGTTAAGAAACTCTCCTATTTCTACCATATGGATCCTTACATTTCTAAGTCGAGGTTTTTGTAACACAGGATACCAAACTTTAAAAAAGCACAAGCCACTTCTTGCTGGTATATTTCTTTTTTTCCCTTCAACAAGGATCTACTAATATAATCAGAATCATAGAGCTACTGAGTAATTGCTTGAGAATCAAATGTTTACACACTGAAGTAAACAAGATCAGTCTGGCTTACGTGCACATGCAAGTTTTATGGGTCCATGAGTATGTGTGTATGAGTAAGTAGCTCTGGTAACTTATCTACTTTGCATCAACAAGGATCATGTAGCATTTTAGTCAAATGACTATTGAACTATCACAAACACAGGAAAAGGCCTAAGAACTTGCTGAAAGATCTTGCTCCTCTGGTTTCCAAGAGCACAAGCTCTGAAACTGCTGATAATAATGCTGCGGCAGACAGAAGACAAATAGTTCATTATAGCTTTCTGACAAAATCCTATTCTTAAGGTCAAGGACACTTTGGAATTCAACAGTGAATTTCAGAAATGATTCTGACCATTAAGTAAAACAGTGGCAGAGTTTAATAAATAACACTTTATGTATCACAAAAAAGACAAGTATACACATTTTTTGAACAAGTATTTCAACTAAACAAAAGAGGCAACATCTCCTAAATCCGATAAACAATCTTTCGATTGATACTTGTAGAATTCTATCCCTCTCTGTTATAAAAAAGAACTGTAGTATTTCACATCATCATTTGACAACAAAGGGCACCACCAGCTATGCTACAATACTGTTGCTTCTTGAAAAGCTTCTATCCACCTGTTGGAAAAGGAAATATTAATTAGGAGTAAACAGCATGGTGTGTTCAACACATGCATAATTGATAGATATAGCTTCATTAAAACGCTGTATTGTTCAAGTCAGTTTGTCATGAATACCCTTCAGATTTTCACTGATTTTTAGGAACATACAAGGTGTCTTAGGGCTACTATAAAGTTTGAGTCCAGTGGCACTTTTAAGACCAACAAAGTTTTATTCAAGGTATAAGCTTTCGTATAAGCTCCTTTTAAACATGGAGGCAAGGAGGTAGATGGAGCATAATGGCATGGCCTCAGTTAATTATTCTAAGCGTTCCACAACTAAGAAGGGTACATTTGCCCATCAATCTCCAATTTTGATATATTTATTTCCTTTACTGTTAAACCCAAACAAATGATAACCATATAAACTAAGCTTGTTATTCCTGTTTGGTCCTTGAATCTGTTAAACATCTTCTTTATGTTGTATGCTATGGACTGGCAACTTCCATTTCAATGCATCTGAAGTGTGCACACAAAAGTTCATACCTTGAATAAAACTTTGGTGGTCTTAAAGGTGCCACTGAACTCAAAATTTGTTCTGCCACTTCAGACCAACATGGCTACCCACCTGTATTTGTCATTAGGGCTACTATATTTTAACTGTTTTAATTTTTATATATTGTATTTTCTACTAAATTTGATGTAACCCACCCTGAGTCTGCTATGCGGGGAGGGCGGGACAGAAATTGAATAACATAAATAAATATGTTGCTGCTAATTTTATTGATATAGAATAGATGCTTTCCCTTGTTAGGATCTGAGCACTTAAAGCTACAGAGAATTCTAGTTCTCTACAGGAGAGGTCAGATTCTTCTGTTTCTTTCTAAGCTTTTGTAGCAGTGGTGGCAAAGCATTGCTAAGACCAATGTTCCCTCTAAGCTGTGGAGTCTTGTGAGCAAAAATTCTACCTTGTGAGCTATTGGCATTTAAGTTGTGAGTGAGCAATTTGGTTACTGCATAAATTAGTTTGCTCTGGAGCCCTCCTTCCTGAGCTAAGACAAGAATGTGTGAGCCGGAGGCTAAAAACCTGTGAGCTAGCTCACGCTAACTCAGCTTAGAGGGAACACTGGCTAAGACCTTCTGCAGAAGCTCAGAGGTAAGCAACACAAGTATCTTTCCCCAAGTGCTTTGTAGCTCCTAGAGAATTCAGGAGCAGGGGTGGCCAAACTTGCTTCATGTAAGAGCCACATAGACTAAATCTCAGATGCTCAAGAGCTGCAAGGTAACTTCAGAGGAAGAGGTGGGTTTGGGGGAGTGGCCTGAAAGTGACATCACAGGAAGGGGTGGGGTTTGGGTACAGGCTCTGACATAATCAGAAAAGGTGGAGCTTAGGAAGTGCCATCACCTGACCTTTTACCTGGAAGTACCATCACAGGACATGACATCACAAAGTGCTAGAGAGGTGTCTATCAGAGCCCCACCTGCCATTTCAGTCATGAGGATAGCATGTGATGTGAGAAAAAAACAAGGGAAACTCCCTCAACTTAAGGAAGAGGAGGAAAGTCTGCTGAGCCCCAGAGCAGAAACCAGAATGCCCTTTTTGTTCACATCCCTTTCCTGATCCAGGGTGAGTAGAGAGCAAGAGGCAGGGCCCAGGATTTGCCCAGAGGTGGTTGAAAGAGGGATCCCTCAGAAGCCAAATCCCCCCCAAAATTGCTCTTCTACACTGCCACTCAGCATGGGGCAGGGGGGATGTTGCCAGTCCTGTATAGACCGAAGGATGGCGGGGGAGAATTCCACCTCCTAAACCCGTCAAGACTGACTGGAAAGAATTCGACTCCAGGTTGTCATGGCTCTGAAATGGTGTGTTGTGGTGGGTTGTCAAGTTGCAGCTGATTTATCGTGACTGCTCATGGGGTTTTTAAGGCAAGGGACATTCAGAGGTGGCTGGCCATTGCCTGCCCCTGCGTCACAACCCTGGATGTCCTTGGTGGTCTCCCATCCAAATACTAACCAGGGCCAATCCTACTAAGCTTCTGAGATCTGCTGAGATCAAGCTAGCCTGGGCAATCCTGATCACACGTTTACTACCCCTGTATTTCAGTGCTCTGGACAGGTCTTCCTTCTGCCTTCTTCTTGGGTTGATACGAATCTGGCTTTGGACCACTCTCTCTTGTTGTTACACACCTGCTCCTGCCCTCTTGGGTGCTTTCTGCAGTTCCCCTCCTATTCCCCTCCCCCCCAGCATAACTCTGATGCACCTGGGGAACTCCTGCCTTTTTCCAAGTTCAGATGTGCTGCCTGCCAGAGAGGAGGGGAGCCCCTCAAGAAGACAACATCTTGACTCAGACATATTCATCAGGCACACTTTCCTAGGCATACTGCCCTTGAATAAATGAAGCTGCCTTCTACTGAATCAGGTGATTGGTCCATCAAACTCACTATTTTTCATTCAGGAGGGAAGAGAGAGAGAAAGACAGTGGGGAGGGGAAGAAAGACCAGAGAGAGAGGGACAGAGAAGGGGATAAGACCGAAAGACGAAAGGAAGGGCGGGGGGGGGGGGGGAGAAGGACAGTGGGGGGGGAAGAGAGAAATACACACAGAGAGAGGGACAGAGAGAGACATGGGGAGAAGAGAGAGAGAAAGACAGTGTGAGAGAGAGACGGTGGGGACAGAGAGAGATGGGGGGGGGACAGAGAGAGACAGAGAGAGACAGGGAAAAGGAGGGGCCCACATCCTTCCCACCGCAACCCTGGCTCACGCACACACACACAAACTCCTGTCTCCTCCTGATGGCGCTGGTTGCAGCAGACCCATGAGGGCTGCTGGGCCACCTCGCAGAGGGGAGAAGGAGGGCACACATGGCCTCCCCACCCCGGCTTGCTTGCATGTATGCACATGCACAGACACCCTCCTGCCTCCCCCCAACAGCGCTGGCTGTGGCAGACGCATGAGGGCTGCTAGGCCATGTTGCCGAGAGGGGAAGGAGGGCGTGCATGGCCTCTCCACCCCACCCCAGTTTGCTTGCATGCATGCACATGGACACACACACCCTCCTGGCTCCCCCCCCCCAACGGCGCTGGCTACAACACACCCATGAGGGCTGCTGGGCTGCGTTGCTGAGGGGAAAAGGAGGGCACGCATGGCCACCCCACCTCGCGCACACGCACACACACACCTGCTTCCTCTGATGGTCCTGGCCGCGGCAGACCCAGGAGGACTACTGGTCCATGTTGCCGAGGGGGGAAGGAGGGTGCCCATGGCCTCCCAACACCACCTGGCTTACACACACACGCACACCCTCTTGCCTCCCCCGACATGCTCAGATCCCTCCCCTGCACAAAACAAACCTCCGCCACCCTCCCTGGACTGCCTCGGTCGCCTGCAGCCTCTCCAAGCTGAGCAGCTGCCTTGGGGAGGCCACAGGTGACCTGAGCACACTCAGACCACCACCTCCCACACAAAACAAACCTAACCAACACCCAGCCCAGAGTGGACTGCCCCCCCCCCTTACCTTTCCAGCTGGCAGTGGTGGTGAGAAGAGGCAGCAAACGGAGCCCCCAGCTCCTCCTGGCCTGACTGAGGGCTGCTGGGGGCAGGGTTTAGCTGCCCTGGCTGCCTGCCCACCTGACTGAACTGGCTTTTAGTAAGCCGCCGTGGGGGGCACAATGGAGGGAGGCAGAAAAGCGTTGTAAGCCGCAAAAGAGGGCTCAAAGAGCTGCAGTTTGGTCACCCCTGCGCAGGAGGGATGCTGCTCTTAGGTATATAGGACAGGGAGAGGGGCCCTTCTTGCTGGCAACCTGCAAGTGGGTTTATGGAACCTGAATTTATGCTCTAAATGGAGACCCAAATCATAACTATACCACTATAATACAAAACTTAAAGCAGTGCCTGCAGAATACTCTTGAGTTTCTTATTCATATAAATTAAATCAATAGTGGCCACTTACTTTTGTGTTGAATGGGTGTCATCTGCTTTGAATATATAGAATAAGGTATTTTTGTGCAACAAATGGAACACTTTGGACTCTGCATTTTCATCTCTGACTTCAGCAACTGTAAATCCCAGTAAAGGCTGACTTTCCAAAGCAGCTACATCCTAATTTTACAAAGAAATCCAGAATGAAACGTGGCTTTCTTATAAATTCAACTTTCTCTTGATTCACAGACATTTAAAAAATCAGCAGAAGTCTCAGTGGTATGCAGTGTGCATGCTGCATCTTCACAATTGAGAGATGATGATGTCAAATCCTTCTTTTTATTCAGTTTTTTTTTTCATTTTTGTTTTAACACTTCTCTCTGTTGTGCAATCCCCACCATAGAGAACACTACACTTTTTGGTTTTCAGATGGCTCATTAACAATTTGTTTAGACACATAGACATTTCATAGTAGGTTAACTCTTAAAAAGGCTAACCCCAACAATGAGCACTAACAAAGCATTAACATGGTTTCCCCATAAAATAAAGACAGACTAGAGACAGGAACCAAAAACAGCGACTGTCCCTGATAAGCCAGGACAGTTGGAACATATGAAGTTACTTAGCTGGGTCTTTGGGTCCCATTCTAACATTCCACCCACTCCCTGCAATTAACTACATAATTCGCTCTTAGGTTTTGATTTCTCACCTCACTAGCAGCATATGTATATAGCACCTTATTTTTTATCACAAACCACAGGTGTTTCCAGGGTTTCTTGCTACCCTTTGATCTATATAAATAGCCACTCATTGAAGAGTCTTCTGTATTCGCAGATACCTAAGTTCAAAACAAAACAAACTGCTTTAAGAATGCATGAGTATTATATGGAACTGTCAGGCAATTGTAGGCTTTTGCTAGGAGGAGACAGAGGCAGGTCACAACCAACTTATGGTGACCCCAGGACCATGGGGTTTTCAAGGCAAGAGATAAGGAGAGGTGGGTTGCCACTGCCCTCCTCTGCACAGCAACTCGTCTTTTTTGATGTGTGTGTGTGTGTGTATATGTATGTATGTATATATGACGTGAAAATTAGTGCAACATTTACCTACAGAGAAAGCATTCAACTTTACAGTAAGTCGTTTGACAATGATACTTAGTGCTGCCACCTTCCAAGCTCAGTTGTAATATTTTTAGCACATCTCGAAGTGAAAAAATATGAGCTCTGCATGTTGAGGAGCACCTCCAGTTTCAATGCAACACTAAAAAGGAATGCCAGAAGCTCACTGCATACTAGAAGAAGAAGAGATTGGATTTATACCCCACCCTTCACTCAGAGTCTCAGAGCAGCTTACAAACTCCTTTCCCTTCCCCTCCCCACAACAGACACCCTGTGAGGTGGGTGGGGCTGAGAGAACTCTGACACAAACTGCTCTTTTTCAAGGACAGCTGTGCCAGAGCTTGTGACTGACCCAAGGGGTGCGTTCAGGCAGGGGCTTTCTGCCAGCATAAACTGCACCGGTTGGAACCGGTGCAGTCTATGCCGGCAGAAACGCGATCACACGCACCTCCATTTTGCGGATCCCATCGCTGTATGCCCGTTCACACACGGCGGGCATCAGCTTTAAAAAAAAACAAAAACCCTCAGTTTGCACATGCGCATAGGCAGCCATCCAGAGAATGGCGAGCTTCACGCATGCGCAAAACACCCCATCTTCCCTTTAAAGTTTAAAGGTAAAGGTTCCCTTGCTCGAAAGCCAGTCGAATCTGACTCTAGGGTTGCGGTGCTTGCCTGGATGTCAACCCCGTTGATGAAGAGGACCCTATCTCCCACGTGCAGGGTGCCGTCCCAATGTGCAACCCCCCCTCGAGGCACCTACATTCCCCGCCTCTAGATGTGGCTCTTCTGCGGGACCCACACTCCTCTTCCTCCGCCAATCACTCCTCCCCAGGGCAGGCCCTGATGATCCCCACCACGGACCTTCCTTCCCGGAGAGCGTCACGGCTTCCTCGGGGAGCGGGTGCCGAAGGGGAAGCCAGCAGAGCTGCCGCCCCGCGTAGGGATTGCAGCCGCGTCCTTGCCCGGAGGGGCGCTCGTGACCTGCCAGGCCGCCCCGCAGGAAGGAATGCGAGTTTGGGGGCTGGGGGTGGCGGGGGGCGGGGTGGGTAGGTGATGCCAGGCGCAAAAGGGCGCGGAGCCCCTCCAGGCGGGGAGGGGAGGGGGGCTTGCATCCGCCAGTGGCAGAGCTGGTTTCACTTTGCCTTAAAGGCGCAGGCAGTGGAGCAGGAGGCTGGCAGTGGTGGCGGGGAAGAGAGAGGCCGCAGCGCTTTCGCTTCCTGGGCTCCGCGGGCCCTCAGCGGCTTCCCCCTGTGTCTTCGTGCAGGTTTGGGCAGGCGGGCAGGCAGACCACACACACCCCCACTGCTGGAGCAGGCCCCCCCCATCCCTGGGCACGGCAGCCTCCTCCGAAGCAGGCGTCATGCCAGAGGGGTTGGGGGGGGAGAACTTCCTCTAAGGTCCAGGGATGGGGGGGTGGACACAAAGCAGCGCAGAAGAGCACCGGAAGGGCAGGGCGGGAGCGGAGCCCTTCCCCTGGAGTTCGCGGCTTCTAGCCTAAGGAGGGCTTCAGAGAGCAGCACTTCCTGCCCGTCTGCCTGACTTGCTTGCCCTCCCACAGCCCTGAGACTTGCCACCGCCACTCGCCCGTCCACCGTTGCACTGAGTTTACCACCACTAGGGACCTAGTGGCAGAGTGCAACGGTGTACAGCTCTTTACAACGGATAGAGCGGGAAGACAGATGTTCCCCGTCTGAACGCCGGTAGGTACATCGATTGCAACCGGCACAGAATCCGTTGTAAAGGCTGCGTCTGAACGCACCCAAGGTCACATCAGCAGGTGCAAGTGGAGGAGTGGGGAATCAAACCCGGTTCTCCCAGATTAGAGTCCACGCACTTAACCACTATACCAAACTGGCACTAGTACCAGGTGGCTAGCAGGCCGTCTTTAGTTCCCCTGCTGACATATGCTCTCCCACCCTCCTAGCTGTTTCAAGAAGCTAAGAGAGAAGGAGTCTCAGCACACCAGAGAATAGATAAAGAAAAAACAAAGGTACACACAAGAAAAAGGGGGGTGGGAGAGATCCATCTCTAACTGGTGTAGTCCAATCAATGTTTTCCCATCTGGCAGGAAAAGAAACTTAAGAGCAGAACTACATGCCACTTCAGCAAAGATGCTGTTGTGGGCCAGGGACTTGAAGGGGAGAATGAAGCTGAATCTAACAGCAGCTTTGATGGGGATTTAGATCAAAAACGAGTTAAATGCACTCTTCCCCCAGCACCACTGCTTCAAATGTGTTTGAAGCTTCCACCCAACCAGCTGCATTAAAGTAAACTTTAAAAAGTGCAAGGTATCATTGTTAGGGAATTTTACATGTAATTGTGAGCCTATGTTGGCTTAAAGGTAAAGGTTCCCTTGCCCAAAAGCCAGTTGAATCCAACTCTAGGGATGAGGTGCTCATCTCCGTTTCAAAGCCGAAGAGCCAGCGTTGTCCGAAGACATTTCCGTGGTCATGTGGCCGGCATGACTAAACACCAAGGCACATGGAATGCTGTTACCTTCCCACCGAAGCGGTACCTATTTATCTACTTGAAATTTCTTGCTTTCGAACGGCTAGGTTGGCAGGAGCTGGAACTAGAGATGGGAGCTCACTCCATCATGCGGCACACTCGGGTTTCGAACTGCTGAACTACCAACCTTCCACAGCCTGCAGTTCAGCATCTTAACCACTTGAGCCACCATAGCTCCTATGTTGGCTTACTAAATAAAGATGTCATATTCCTCACCAGCCCCCCCCCCCCAAAGTAAATCGGTTATTTGACCTCCTGATCTCTAAGCAACCTTATCTCAGTCGGGTGCCATCCTTATCTTTCAGGGGAAAGTGTAAAAGGTTTGTTTTCCTTATGTTCCTCTTAGGAATGTAGAATGTACTCTAAGCAGAGGGTAGAGTGAATTATGCTTGAGAGCAGAATTGTTGAACCCTTTTTTTTCCAAATACCAGACCCTGATCTTTTGCCGGTTTTATCCTATAAAAGAAGAACTCTGAATCTTGTTCAGTATGCTAGCATGACCTGTGCTTGCAAGCTTCAGAATGATCATTCTTAATAAAGCTGCCTGCTTTGTTAGCAAAAAAGCCTTGAGTGGGTCTTTTCTCTCCTGGATTGAACTCAGGTTGAACTAGCAGTCTTAAAAACTCTCCTAACAATCATATCCATCCACAGATCCTCCTGCATAACATGCACTTTGGTTCAGAGTTAGTTATGGTGAGCAGTGGGTGGTGGAGGAAAGTGCCATCAAGTCACAGCTGACCAGGGGTCATTTCGTAGAAAAAGAGCTAGGGGAACTCATTAGCATAACTCATTAGCATATGCCACACCCCCTGACATCAGGGGCCCGGCGGTGGACCTGCAAGGCCAGCGGGAGTGCGAGGAAGCCCCGCCAAGGCCCTCCCTGGCCCCAGGCAGGCAGGGGTGGGGAGAGGCGGGGAGGAAGCAACTTACCCTCCCTCTTCTCCTGCCTCCTCCTGGCTGAATGAGGGCTGGAAGCGGGGTGGCCGGAAGCAGGGGGCGGGGCTTCGTCATGTGCCCCCCCCCCCCCCCCCTCACCCGGGGGAACTGTGTTCCCCCGCGTTCCTCCCCGAAATGACCTCTGCAGCTGACTGATGTTGCACCAGTGGGGTTCTCAAGGCACGAGATGTTCAGCCATGGTTTGCTTTAGCCTGTCTCTGTGTTATGACCCTGGTATTCCTTGGTGATCTCCCATCCAAATACCAGCCAGGGTAGACCCTGCTTAGCTTCCAAGATCTGATGAGATGGAACTAGCCTGGACTGTCCAGGTCAGGCAATTTGGGGGTTTCAAATGGAGAACAAAGTTCAATAAAAGAAATGACAAGGTCACCTGATTGAATGCAAAAAAGTTATATTCTGTTTAATATTTTCTAGATAGTCCACAGGAAAATTTTTAAAGCAATGTAGAAAGTGGCATTAAAAACTCTCATTCAAGCTTTTAACTGTTTGGTGTGAATAACCCTGGCATTGCAAGAATAAGATATCATTTCAGCAAACATGGTTATTTATTTATTTATTGGATTTCTACCCCACCCTCCCAGCCGAGGCCGGCCCAGTTACAAGCAATGTTCCCTCTAAGCTGTGGAGTCTTGTGAGCAAAACTTCTACTTTGTGAGCTACTGGCGTTAAAGTTGTGAGCAAGCGATTTGGCTCCTGCATAAATTAAGTTTTCTCTGGAGCCATCCCTCCTGAGCTGAGACAAAAATGTGTGAGCCAGAGGCTAAAAAACTGTGAGCTAGCTCACACTAACTCAGCTTAGAGGGAACACCGGTTACAAGCTTAGTACAGCTAAGAGGTTTTTAAAAAAAATATATTCAGCAGAAAAATCTACATCACACTTGCAGTTTTCTGGAAAGGGATGTTTATAACATGAAAAATTAATTGGTAAGTTGTGCCCAACAGTACACTGAACTCCTCTGGGACAACGTTCTATCTGGATAGTGTGTTGAAAGTACTGCACGTAACATCCTCCTCAAGATACATTAAAAATTCAAATAACTCAGAACTACAGGGGGTGCTAAAACACTTTGCACAGCAACCACCAATTACACAACAAATTAAATTAGTAATTTCAGTATCTGAAAAACCTTGTGCTTTTCCAATTCACCCCCCATGCTGTCAAGAGCTAGTCAGGATTCTAGAAAAGTTTTGGCTCTGTTTCTGCCAAGAAGTTAACCACAAGCCTAGAAACACGGGCAGCATAAATATATTAATGAACTGGAAAGGCTGTACATCAGAACAGTACGCAGGTACTTTTTTATACTTTCTACCTGCTTAAAGAACAAATATCTAATTTAAGGATTACATGAACAGACGTTAGCACAAACAACTTTATGAATATCTCCTTTTAACTGTACCTTCTCCCACTTTCTCAAAATAAACAGGAGAACTGTGGCCTTTTTAAAACTAACAAGATTTTATTCTAGCATTAAGCTTTCGCAGACTTGCTTTCGTAAACTGTTCTATCCATCTAAGTGCAAGTAGTGAGTCTTCACTAGGCAGACATTAGCACACACTACATTAGGGTCTCACTACAATAGCAGACCTCCCAGCTTCATAAAAATATAAGAAGAGCCCTGCTGGATCAGACCAATGGTCCATGTAGTACAGCACCCTGTCTCACACAGTGGCCAACCAGTTCCTCTGGATGGCCAACAACAAGGAACAGAGGCCAAGGCCTTCCCTGGTTCTCCTTGTTCTGAGATTCAGAGGATTGGTATCTCTGAATGTGGAGGTTCCCCTCAGTCACCATGGCTACCGTAGTAGCCATTGATAGATTTATCCTCCATGAATCTATTTAATCCCTTTTAAAGCTGTTTATTCCTGGGCCATCACTACATCCTCTGGCAGCAAATTCCACATTTTAATCACTCACTGTGTAAAGTAGTATTTTCCCTCCTGAACCTACTGCCCATCAGCTTCATTGGATGCCCTCGAGTTCGAGTATTTGAGGAGAGAGAAGAAATTATCTTTGTCAACTCTCTCCACCCCATGCATAATTTTATCAATCCCTATCATGTCCGTCCCCCCCTTAGTCATCTTATTTCTAAACTGAAAAGTCACAGACTCATCAGCCTTTTCTCAAAGGGAAAGTGCTATAACCCCTGAATCATCTTGGTTGCCCTCCTTTGTACCTGCAATGTCCTTTTTGAGATATGGTTGACCAGAACTGTACACAGTACTCCAAATGCTGTCACACCATAGATCTATACAGGGGCATTACAAAATCGGCTGTTTTATTCTTAATCCCTTTCCTACTAATCCCTAACATAGAGTTTGCCTTTTTCACTGCTGCAGCACATTGGGATGACACTTTCATTGACCTAACCACTACGATCCCAAGACAGTCTCAGCAAGTTCAGGCCCCATCAGCTTATACTTGAAGTTGGGATTTTTTTGTCCTAATGTGCATCACTTTACACTTCCCAATACTGAACTTCCTTTGCCACACTGTCACCCACTCACCCAGTTTGTGGAGGTCCTTTTGGAGCTCTTCACAGTCAGCCTTGGTTTTTACCATCCTGAATAATATTGTTATTTGCAAACCTGGCCACTACTCTACTCACTCCTAGTTCCAGATCATTTATGAATAAATTAAATAGCCCCAATACCAATCCTTGTGGGACTCCACTGCTTACTTCCCTCTATTGTGAGAACTGTCCATTTATTCCTACTCTTTGCTTCCTATCATTTAACCAGTTTAACCTTCCTCACTACCAGCTGGTGCCTTGGGCACTGCTGGGAGGAAATGGGGGGAGGGAGAATGCACATGGCATGCTTACATCACTTCCGGTAAAAAAACTGAAGCAATGTGGTGAACACTGTAGCAGTTTGCAAAAGCTCTATGGTTTTACCAGAAGTGACATAAGCACACCAGCATTTCCTCCCAGGGGATAGCAGCTGCAGCCTGGCAACACTACATGCATCTGATTAAGTGTGGCTCTAGTTCACAAAAGTTTATGGTAGAAAAAAAAATCTAGATAGTCTTTAAGGTGCCACATGACTCCAATTCATCTGGTGGGGTAAAAATGAAGTACATAAATAAATAAAAACTAGAAGACACATAAGCCACATGTTTCTGCAGCTGCAACTATCTGCAATGGCCATAAGAACTGGCACTGATGAAAGCCGAAGAAGGGATTTAGTACACGTGGTCCCTCATAAAGAGACTAACATGTGAATTGGCTGTAAGCAGAAGACATTGAGGAATTTCAGACAGGCGATATATTCCGGTTCAGGAATGGTTTCCAAACGGTTTCTGGTCTGACATTTCAGACACAACTGTTTTAGGACCGGTTCCCTACTGGAATATATGTGTACGTTCACACACAAACGCCTCTGTCCTGTTCAGGAAACAGGGCTGAACCGTTTTACCTGTAAACCACTTCCAAGTAGTCTTCAGTTTCTTTTCCCGGATCCGAAATGCTTTTTCCCGCAGTTTTTCGCCCACGCGGACGATCTCCGGCTTTTTTTTGTTGAATGTTCGCTTTAGAGCGCTATAGCGCTATAACACAACAGCAAAACAGCATTATAGCAACCCCATTAGAATGCCTGGAGTGTTGTGTTATAGCGCTATAGCGCTCTAAAGCGAACGTTTAAAAACAAAATGGAGATTGCCCACGTCGGTGAAAAACGGCAGGAAAAAGCAGTGCAGTCTGAAATGGCAAACCGCTTCAAATCCAGCTGTTTACCGGAATGGAAAAGCCATGTGTGAAATGGCAGCCCTGTACCGGTTTACTCCACGACGGATCAAAAATGGCTTCAAACTGGCTTAAAAATGGTAATGTGAAATTCCTCATTCATTCTGCCATGCTTCCCACGTTTCAGTTAATAACCAAAGCTAAAAAAAACAGGATGCAAATAATATATGGTTTACAGAATAGTGGACCTTGGCCTGCTCAGACTAACCTACCTCATGGCTGGGGTGGGGAAAAGAAACAATTATTTATGTGGGTCTGAGCTTCTTGGAAGAAAGAAGGAATAAAAATGTGACAGAAACATGGGCATAGCAGTGGCATTCAAGTCTCAAGGGCTGCACCAAGAGTAACATAATTATAAGTAGCGCTTCCATATCTGATCTTTGGTTCTAATCATGCCAATGCTAAAATAAATTTCAAACTATCATAATTGGCTCATCATAAATATTTTTAAAATATTACTAGACACAAACCACCAAATGTTAATAATGCATCATACATACTTCCTTGAGGGCCGCTGGGATCTTTTTCTGTTTTCTTCCTGACGGGATACTGTGCAACACTGTAGACAAGGCACTAGATGGAGATCTGTGGTTTACTGGGGACCCATTTTTAGAAGGAGTGCATATATTGTCTAAAATTGATAGTTTTAAAATGTTATTTTTAATTATTTCAACATTTCTACCCCACCCTCTTTCAAAGCAACTTGCAACAGTACACAGCAAATAGAATAGTTAATACTATTGTTGCGCTTCAGTCAACACTAAGTTATCTACTTTACATTTACAAATCATAAGTTATAACACTAGTAGATGACACAAAAGGCACTTTTAGAACTATCTGTTCACATGGGTGAATAATTATACTGCAACCTTAAATGCAATGGAAGCTGGTCTGAGAGTGTTACAGTAAGATGGACTAAAACTTTCACATGTTTTACATCACCTACAAAGCACACATCTTTTACTGCAAACTATATTTGGCTATTCATAGTTTTTGTAGAATTGTTTCCTATCTGGAAATAGGAGAGGAGCATTGTGCCCCTTCATACAAACTTTTTGAGGGTTAAACATCCAGTTCAATGATTTCTAAGGATCTCAAAAGCTTGTAAATTGCTTTGTAATATTTGTAATATTTTTAAAAAGGCATTATGTTGTTCTTGGAATCTGTCAACTGAACAGGGAGCTGCCTGTGTAGCTTCTTGCAATGAGTAACTGAAGAACATCATTCAAAGGAACATAACTGAAAAGCATAATTCAAATAAACTCATATACATGAAAATACATTTTTAAAACAGCAAGTAGGGAGTTATATCACTATTATATTCTCAAACTTCAATCTGAAATGTGTATTTTCACTATGTTGATGACATACAACATTAAAATCCAGATTTGTTTTTGCTGCTTAATTTATATCATACCTTTCTGCAGCACAGAGTTTATGAACTACACAGAGTTCTCAGGTGGTCTCCCAACCAGGCACCAACCATGCCCAGACTAAGGCTGCCTTCCAACCATAATCCAGATTGTATGTTATAAAGGAATGCATTCCCTTTGAGGAATTTTGTTCTGGTCCTCAACCAACTGTACCAGTGTAAATCCTACTCAACTGTGTCATGACTTGGGAAACAGCAGGCCCTGAACAGAAGTTTAAGGCAAACAAATAAATATAGGAAAATTAAAAACAGACCTGGGCAAAGCTTACTGTGCTTCTGCAGCTCTTTAAAGCAAAGATCACATACTCTTGCAGGCTGATTTTTCATATAGTCTAATCCATGCTTATTTGATGAACAAGCTTGGCAGATTATCTGGGGAAAAAGAAGCCTGTGAAATACATATACTCACACACAAGCCTACACATAACTTTCAAGTTTATGTTTTAAGCATACTCAGAAATATACCTTAAAATAATCAAGATCACTTTCCTAGGAGCACGATCCTACCCAGAATTGATTTATTTTGGATCAGTTTATGCAGAGCTGCTGAGAGGCACCATGGCTCCCCAGGCAAAGATTCCACTTGAGGCCACCATACGACCTTGATCCAAACCAAATATCATAATAAAATAAATCACTTGGCTTGCTGTTACCATGAATCTATAGTAATAAACTAATTGGCCTGTCCGTCCATTTGTTTATTTATTACTAGCCTGCTACCCATGCTTCGCTATGGTATTTAAGTTCCGTAAATCCAGGTATAATACTGATGGTGTGAAATCTGAAATGTGACATTTGTTGCAGGAATTCTAATAGAGAAGATGGTAGTGCAAGAAATGAAGTGAGACATACGTACTTTCACCCCCCTCTACTGAAGGACCTTTCTCTAGACCACATTGGTAGTTCTGCCCTCAGGTGCTAGGATCACCAGGCTGCTTGATGAGCTCACTCTGGAGCAGGCCACAAAGAACTGTCCATTTAAGAAGCAGTCGTCTGTTAAGAACTCCTGCTACCTTCCACGAAAGTGATGGCCTCTCTACTTGTGTTCCTGGATTGTTTTGCTCATATGGAGACTGTGTTGTTCTGAGCACCTCAGGGTGATCTTGCTGGTACTTGACCTGTGCAGCTCAGTGCACTGCAGGAGTACTATGTGCAAATGTCTTTGCCGCATTCCTAAGTTGCCTCCTCGTAGCATTGGTGTATCTGGCTCAACGTTTGCCAAGAGCTTTCTTGGGGGCAGTAAGAGGTGAGAGGTGTGAGGGGGAGTTGGTGTGAGGGAGTGGTGATATGGTGGACATTTCTTCAGGTTCATGAGGGAGGCTCGGATCGAAATGGCTCCTAGAAATGTCCTTTACTATCTCCCCATAAACATTCCTAACCTGGCCCTGCTCCTACACCTGACATTAAAATCCAGATCTGTTTTTGCTGTTTAATTTATATCAACCTTTCATTTATATCATACCATAAATTATATCATACCTTTCTTGGTATGCCTGACTGGTGTCTGGTACGCCTGTCTGGTGTTGGAGGGGATTGTATTTAAAGGCATCGGGGAGGCTGGGCCAGCAGCAGTGCTAAGGCAATCCTGCTGAGCAAACCTTCCCAGTGGCTGTAAGCATCCCACCTCCTCTCCTACACCTGACAGGCAGCTGCCTGTCCAGTGTAGGAGGGGGAGGAGTATTAGAAGCCACTGTGGAGGCAGGGCTGGCAGGATCACTAAGGCATTACTGCTGGGGCAAGCTCCCTCATGGCTTTAAGCACCCTGCAACCGCTGCTGCACCTGACAGACAATCGCCTGTTAGGTGTAAGAGGTGGGGGAGTGTGTTGGAAGCCATCCCACCTCCTCTCCTACACCTGATAGGCAGCTGCCCATCCAGTGTAGGAGGGGGAGGGGGGAGTATTAGAAGTCATGGTCCCTAATTGGAAGCTATACTACGCGGCAGCAGTAATGGGATGGGTTAGGGAATGGGCAATGTTGGAAAATAAAAGGCTCCTAACATTAGAAGGATTTGACCTTGCCATGGGTTGGCATAAATACTTGTGGTACGGTGAAGGAAAACAACCTACATATTTTAAGCAACACACACTCAGAGGGGCACTTAGTAAGA